GGTTCATAATTCAGAGGCCCTGATCCAAGTCTTTGTCTCTGCATGGCACAGGTCTCTTTTGCAGGCAGCGTGTTCTCTTGTTATCTACAGATGGCATCATGTTGCAAGCACAAGGTATCACCCACAGTGTGAAAGCTTTTCCTGTTGCTGCCACTTTTGTCTCTTCCCATATCTGGGCCTGCTTTTCCCTTGGCTTTCTGTGGTATTATGCCAGGGAAGATAGATGTACGTGTTCTGAAAGAGAGGTCAGTGGAAGAGCTCTGTCACATGAGCCCATGTGAGAATCCTTGGGTGTTACATGCAGGGCAGCTGTCTCAAACAGCAGGTTGTGGTCTTACACTGCAGAGATTGCAAAGGTGCCTCACACAGCACTTTCCTGGCTTCCCTTGCCGTGGAGTTTGTTGTCTCTGGTAAAGATGAGCTTCAAGGTCAGGGAAACAAGTGCTTTTTGATGAAACCTTGTCACCCTCCTGGAGCTCTCTGCAGTGACCTGCAGCAGCTGGAGAAGGTGGAGTCTTTGCTGCTCTTCTTGCTGGCTCCCAGTGTGAACACTGGTTAGCAAGGAAGTTATCAAGGCCATTGCTGGCAGCCTTCATGGATGTCTCGTGCATCATGAACAGCCCCATGGGTCCTGTGCAGGCTGGTTTTCCTTACTGTGCATTTCTTTGTGGACTTCACCTTTCCTCTGGTGTAGCAGTGACTTTGATCCTCATTGTAGATCCTCCTCATGGTTCCATACTTCAAAACTGCTGCCTATTTTCATTACTTCCATGTCTTCTGCACCAGAACAGAGCAAGTAACAGGCATTTTATTTCCCACTGTGGGCTCTGGAAATATCAGGACTATCCCTTGAGACTGGATCACCATCATATGTATCTGACTCATACATGCCCACAGCGTGCCCACTGCAATCACTTATAAAACATAAAATGCATAGTCACTGAATTTTTGCCAATGGTGGAGCAACTGAAAATAACCCAATCCCTAAAATCCTGTCTCCTACACAAAATACACTGTGACACGTCCTTCTAGGCAGTGCAGAACCCATCCCCACTTCCTCTAATGGGTGCAAACCATTTTCCACCACCACAAAGCATTGAACTTTTCATCATTCAAAGTGCCTGTAATCACTGCTTTGCTATCTTTTGACTGTTAACTATCTATTATATTTAACCCATCAAGTCTTCCTCAGCCTAAATGAACAAGTTATTTTCCTGATACCTGAAAGCCCGTAAAAACCTCATTAAGCTTTGCCTCACATTTTCTAGGCTGCAATTTTCATGTATGGGAAACATGCCCCACTCAGCTTCTCTTCCTCCTCTGCCCATTCATTGATGAGAAAGGAGGCTACTTAAGAGCAACTGCAAACAACTTATTTTGGCTGTGTGGGCAGCACAGCAAATTTGGCCAATATACCTACAACCCTTTGTCTAAAGGTCAGTGTGGTTCACGGCCAGGCACCTGAGTTTACATGTGGCCAGAAACTGCCTGGCACCGTGCCTGCTTGGCACAGCATCTGTGGCTGGCACAGCTCTGTGTGTGTTGGAGCCCCCTGGGTCAGAGGGCAGTACGCTGCACAAGGGGAGCCCTCATACCCTTGAAGGAGAGAAATTTACAGTATGGTTTTGTGTAGCTAGGATGACGGGCAGCTCTGGGTCCCTGTTGAGGGTAACTGCAGGTAAGAGCTGGCATAGCTTATGAAAGAGCTTGTAGTTCTGCTTAAACTCCCTTGCCCCTGCAAAGTCAAGCTTTGTTGTACTTATCCTCACCCTGTGAGAGAGAAAGTCTGAACCAGCTGTTGGGAGAGGAGCAGTTCCTTGTGGTGGTGTGCCTGCTGTTCTTCTGTCCTGAGAGTGGGTTGTGTTGCAGTGACTGGGATGCCCTCACAGAGGACATCTTGGTCTGTAGTTTCTGTGCCTTCCCAAGGGCTGGGCTTGGGCACTTGGGGTTGCTGTTGCTAACACTGTTTCATCATAGAAATGTACAGGGGGAAGAATTTCTCAGGCGTCAGTGGCCTGTGGAGAAAAACGTTTTGGTGATTTACCTCCAAAATGACATCATAGAACAACTCAGCCAAAACTTAATTGGGATGTTCATGGACCACAGTGTCACTGTAACAATGCAGGATATGTGGGGGCCAGAGAGGGCATGGACTGAGGCTGAATTTCCTCAGGGCAGGCCAGTGCTGCACACCAGATGTGTGACAATGAAGCTGTACTACTGACTTAAACCATATGGACGGGAACAGCTTGTGTTTTGGTGGTTTACCAGGTAATTACCCTGCAGATTGAATGCCAACACAATTAAATCAGTTTATCACAAATCTAGTTATTCAGTGGGGGAAATGAAATCTCTATTAGTTGGTGGCACTGCTTTGACAGTGATAGCATGTAGCCTGCTGTTTCTGGGGATGACAAAGGCTGGTGTGTGTACAGTCACATATGGATGCCATTAAAGTCCACTGTTCCCCCTGCAAGGGCTATATTTTTAAAAATTAACACCCCAGACAAGAGTCTTGCTCTCAGCCAGAATGGCATGAAACTGCAGAGTAGATTTTTTTCAGAAATAAAGTCTTTTCTGGGTGATGGAAATCAGACTAGGACACTTGCTGCTTAGGAAGCCTGCTGTCAGCATGCCTGTTTTATCTGGAAAGAGGACTCACTGATGTCCCTCTAGCATGTGGGCCCCTTTACTTCTGCTTTCTCTCAGCACAATTCAGTTCTTGCAACCAGCCCAAGTTAATATTGTTGTATTTTTAAAAATGAAGATTTTTTTGGACCCATTTCAGTCAGTAACAAAATACAGTTGTCTTCATCAGAGTCATGATTTCATAGAATCATAGAATAATCTAGGTTGGAAAAGACCCTTCAGATCATCTGTCCAACAATTAACCCAGCCCTGCCATGTCTCTAAGTACCATATCTACATTTTTTTAGAAAAAATCCACAGAAATGGGGACACTTCTCATGGCAGCCTGTTCCAGTGCTTGACAACTCTTTTGATGAAGACTTTTCTCATAATATCTAGCCTAAACCTCTCATGGCACGTCTTGAGGATGTTTCCTCTTGTCCTGTCCCTTGTTACTTGGGCGAAGAAACTCATCCCACCTGGCTACAACATCCTTTCAGGTATTGTATAGAGTCATAAGGTTTACTCCATACAACAGAACTTCCTTTCCCCATAGCTTCCTTTTCTCCAGGCTAAACAAAGCCAGTTCCCTCAGCAGCTCCACACAAGCTCTGTGCTTCACACTCTTCACCAGTTCTGTTGCCCTGAACTCACTCCAGCCTCTCAATATCTTTCTTGTAGTGAGGGGCCCAGAACTGATCTCAGGATTTGAGGTGCAGCCTCACCAGTGCTGAGTACAGGGGGACAATCCCTGCCCTGCTCCTGCTGGCCACACCATTGCTGATCCAGGCCAGGATGCCATCGGCCTTCTTGGCCACCTGGGCACAGCTGGCTCATGCTCAGCTGCTGCTGGCCAGCACTCCCGGGTCCTTTTCTGCCAGGGCACATCCCAGCCACTCTTTCCCAGCCTGTAGCCCTGCCTGGGGCTGTTGTGACCCAAGGACAGGACCCAGCACTGGGCCTTATTGAACCTTTCATTCACCCTGATTCACACACACACACACACACACACACACACCTTTAAACACTGCCTTACACACTGCCTGTGTGGGATCTCAGCCTCTCAGAACTGGGGGGCAGAGTGAACAAGACCACCCCTGGGGGGCTCGGGAGTCCTGGAATGTTGCCAGAAATGTCTGGTGGCTGGACTTTGATCCCACAGGGGAGATGACATCAGTATGAGGATAGGAGGATTTCACTGGGGTGAATGGTGAAGGGACAAGTTAATTGGAGTGTGAGATAAAGGGTTTAAGATTTCTGTACAAGGGGGTCTAAAGAAGTAAGATGGAGGAATTGGGGCGTGCCCTTCTCCTTCTTCTTCTTCCTCTAGGCCTCCATCTTCTGTGGTGATGTTGGCACTCTGGGATTGGACCTTACTAGGGGAACACTGGTTAATAAGGGTAGAGGGTATTGGAGAAAAATGATAAATATTGTATACGTAACTCCGAGTATAAAGATAGGTGGCCGCCCCAGGGGCTCTCAGTGTGTGCCCATGGCTGACTGCTGAGCAGAACTCTGTCAGGCCAAGAGAAAATCTTTTAGATAAGCATTTAATAAACACCGAGACCGAGAAAAGATCTGAAGTCCCTTCTCGTCCTTTGGAGCGCGGGCGGCCCAAGGCCATCTTCGGGCTTTTCCAGACCATCTAAACAGCCCAAAATCCGACATGCCTGGTTTATACAGGACATAAAATGGCATACACTGATGTGATTTGTATTGTTATTTGTGTGTCCCCTTACTAATACAGGCATTATCATTTCTGTAGCTCCAAGTAGCCTTATTCAGTCATTGGGATACCCGTGTGTTGGGGATTGCTCAGACAGCTACAGAAAACTCAGATTCTACTCCTGTGGTCAAAAACCAGCAGATGAAAGGGAAGGGAACAAAATGAATGCGTTCAGCAAAAACCAAAAGCCTCCAGAAGTCCTTCAAGAGAGCAATTAACATGTCTTGCCTTACATTTGGTTAATATTCTTTTTGACTCTGCAAGGGCTGGGACTGTTAGAAATATCAGGCTTAAACACAGAATAGCATGCAATGGGGTAAAATATATGATGCTTGAAAATTCTTTTGTAATTGATGCCTGGAAAATACATAATAATAAAAGTTAATGAAGATGTGGAATACAGTGAACTGCTCTTAATTAAAATACATTACATTAAGATTGCCAGTTTACATGGTCTGTGAAATGAAGTGAAATCAGTTTTTCTTTTCCTCTAAAAACTGAAGTTTTTCCTTTTTAGATTTCTGTAGCAATGCTCTTATTTCCTAAAGGACTAAAAGACTATGCATATGATTATTAGCATGAGATATAAACATGAATAGCCCTAGTTCAGAAAACTGATAATTCTTTTTTCATTTATTTTGTGTAGGTTTCGTTTGCCTGATCTGTAAACATGTCCACAGACCTGCTCTGTAAGTACATTTCCATCATCCCACAGTGATTTTTTCATACCATATGTTTTTATCGGATTCCCAGATGTACTCATGATTGATGTCTTTTATCTGAAGTATAAAGTCTGCTTTTACATTTGCGTTTCTTCTGGGACATCTGTGAAACAATATTACCATTATAATCAATGAGATTATTCTTGGAGTAAAGCATGACTTAATGTGAGTAAAATTGTAAAAATCTGGCCCAAGTATAAGAACAGACTGGTTCATTGAGATTTAAAACTGTAATTCTCTCTAAAATGTTTTATCTATCTTTGGCACAAATACCATCCCAGATTACTACAGAGTGATGTGCTCGGGGTTTTTTAATCATCTTGGGAATTTAACTCCTGTGCTTCCAAGGCATCATTATCCCAGTCACATCCATATCTCCTGCTGTATCACTATAATTTGTCCTTCTTCTTAACAGACAAGTGCTATATCCTTATGCTTTGCTGTCGTGACTGCCATGGAAGGTTGTTGCTCACGTTTCCCAGATACTTGCACTCTCTCACTCCAGCTTAAGTTATCTGAAGCATTAAGCACATTTTTTTCTGCTTGTTGATCTGATCTACATGCTTTCTTTTGGAGTCCCTCCAGTGCCTCAGCTGCCTTTTTTTATCATTGCCTCCAAGGGCTGCCCAGCTGCTCACTGTGCAATATAAGAGAGGGAAATTTCAGACACACATTTTGTCATTCTTCAGTACTTCCTTAGAGGAACAAGGAAAACAGGATTGAGGTTTTATTCATTGAAACTGCAATCAGTTAATAAATATAAATATATTTATTATACATTATATTTATATATTATATTTATATTATAAAAATATATTTATATATAAATATAAATATAAATATAAAACCATCAGTTTAATGGAAGGTAGCAATTATGTGTGGAGATCAAGTTATTTGTTAAAATGTATTTTTAAAGTTTCTACTGTGAAATGGAAATTTCGAGCTATGCTTAAATGCCATTTAGATACAGAGAGAACTCTAAAACAAGGAATGTAATGTGCCTGACTGTATTGTATTCAACAGGCAAAATTATCATCAGGAGTGAAATATTAAAGAAAGCAGAGGGCAGGGTGACTTCACAGGGGTCATGGTCAAGACTCCTCAGCTGTACTCAGATGTTTGTCTCTTTTAGGAATTTTATCCACTGGCAGTTTCATTTTTCTTTTATTCAGCTCAGCAACAGTGCCTTTCTCGTGTTCCCCCAGTGACCAGGGAGCTAGAGAAGTTGTCACCTGCGTAGAGGCTGAAGGAGTTGGGTGTGCTCTGCTCAAAGAAGAGGAGGCTCAAGGGGATCAAGTCATGGTCTTGCAGTACAAAAATGGTGGTTATGGAAAAGGAGTTAGAAGCAGCCTTTCCCAAGGCATGCACTGTGACAGGACAAGAGGTGATGGCCACGAGCTGGGGGAGGTTCTTGTGCATGCAAGGGGCATTTTCAGTGGGAGATCAGTCAAACACTGGAATGGGCTGCTCAGGGAACTGATGGAGTTGCCCACACTGAAAGTATTTGAGATACAGCTTGACAAGGCCCTGGGTAATGGTATTAAAGGACCTGCATTCAGCAAGAGTCTCAGCTAGTTCATCATTGCAGGTCTCCTGCAACTTCAGTAATTCTGCAGTTCTGTATTTCCTTGTGTTCTCAGCTGTCTTCTGTGCAGTGAGCCGTCATCCCTACCAGCTGTCCCTGGTCTTCTCAGTATTGTACTGCTTGTGCTGTGCCAGATCCTGTGGTGCTTGCTTGTGTTAGTGGGATAGACATCTGTCTTCTCACTTGGAGACGTGTCAGTGGCCTGGAGGCAGTGCCAGTGCTGAGGGAACTCTCCAGGTTCCAGCTGGTGGGTGTTTGTGACAGCCTGGTAGTGCCTTGGTAAAACATCAGTGCACAGAGAATGCTAAAGAGTGACATGGCAAATCTCTACAGGTGTGAATTGACTTCAGAGCTTTATGTCTGTCTGTATATAAATAAATATTTCAGGGCCAGCCTGTGAGCTCCGTACTAGCATATAGTAACAAGCAACAAACACTAGGGTGTGTGTGAGGGATAATATCTACTGGACTGTGTTCCAGTTAAGGAATTTGGATATAACCAAACTGTTTGTGGGGGAAAAGAGAAGGAGATGAGGAGCATTTAGACTTGTGGAGCTGGTGCCAGGTGGTCTCAGCATCAGGTCTCTGGCTCTTACTGTTTAGCAGTAGATGTGTAGCCAGCCTAACCACCAGTCCTTAAGCTTGACCATGACATTGTGTTTTGCTAATGCTTGGTTCAATACAAGGTCAAATTTTAGCTTAAAAATCTTGTTCCAGGTTACAGGAACGAAGACAAGATGTATAATGAAAAAAAAGTAAAAATTCTACATAAACTGGAACAAACCCCCTTAAATTCCTTAGGAAAAAGCCCTCTGCAGTCTAGGGCAAATTGCACAAAGAAAATATCATGGTTGCACAATACCAGGGCTGCTGCAGCTAGACCTCAAACTCCAGCAGCTAAGTCTTCAAGCTTGTGGAAATAAATCAGAAAAGCCAACATTCCAGAGAAGTTTCAGCACAATGAATTTGAGGTAGCAAACATTTCTTCGGTTTAGATGGAGAAGCTAAGGAAAAAAAAGGCGTTTATGAAGAGTCTGTCAGCTACTGCGGTTCGGCCGGTCGGGGAAGCAGCAGACTTCCCTTGGAGCTTGTTTTCCTTTTTATCCTTGGAGGAGCTGGTGTGCAGTACATTATGCTGCCTGAATGTGGGGGTTTGTCACGGTACGGGCCGGGGCTGCCCCAGGAATGCAGGAAGGCGATGGGCGTGAATGGAGCGTGCAGCGCTCGGTGGGGACCGAGCCCACTCCTCAGGAAACCTGTTGCTGCTCCTCTCAGCCCAGCCAGCCAAAGCCAGGCAGGAAAGGAGGTGGGTCTTTGATCTCTTTGTTGTAGCTGCTCCCTGGGAATTTGCTGAAATCAATGCCCTGTTTTCCTGAAGAAATGAATGGCTATGCCTAACTAGCTTTGTGAAGCGCTGGGGAATTCACTGCTTCTGTTTATTGACAGCTGAAAAGGAGCACATGGTCCTGAATGGGTCCTCCTGGGGAAACAAAACAGAGCAGAGTTAGACTTAGTTGAATACAGGGGCATTTGGAAAAGTCTGCCGAAGGAGGATGACATGGTTCCTTACACCCTGGACTAGCATAGCCTGACTTTTTACTAAAATTGCCATTTAAAATAAGGTAAGGTTTGTTTTGATTTCCCATATGTAGTGCGATTATGAAATGTTTGCAGTTCTGTTCTTGAGTGCAAAACCAATGTTTGAGTTGTGTTCTGTCATGGGAAATACCTAAGTAACTCTTGTGCTGTTTCTAGCCTCTGTGTGAGTTCATTTGTTCTTTATCTAGTGGTGATTAATGAATATGAAAAGTAATAGAAAATCAGTATTCGGGTCTTCCAGTCAGGTCCTGAACATCAATCATTCATGTAAGCTATGATATGTAATTTTTTGTACCTTTGAAAATCAGTTGAGTTGCATCAGATGATTACTTAACTGGTACAGACTGCTGTGTCAATGCTTACACACAAGGCAGTGACTAACAAGAGACCCTGCCTGGCAGAAAATCTGAGAATCTCAAAATCCTTTGAAATGTATTTCCAAACCTCTGTTTCCACGTGTGGACTCCGGGCAAGAGGCAGACTGACCACTATGTTTGCTGCTGGCTTTAGGTGTGCGTGGGTTTTTTGTAAAGACAGAAAAGAATAGCGAGAGGAGGATGATGATGAAGAAGCAATATTTTCATTGTGCAAGCCCAGAACAGTTTATTAGACCAAGGGCATTTGGTGTGTAATTCAAATGTAAATTTTCTACTGAAAACAGGAGAACAAATTGCCAGAGTTTCTACATTAGTTTCTGTGGTGAGTGAAGGAAAAGATTTCTGGGCTCATGCAGCTACAACTTACACATCCCAATTATGATAGCAGGAAAAACCTTAAGTAATGTGATTTCTTCCTTTGTTATTTTAAGTGTAAGGGCAAGCTCAGAGCAGAGTAATTGCCGCCATGCAGCCTTGTTCTTAGATGCCAGTAGGAATTGCTGGGGTTTTGTTGCAAACCCCATTAAAAGTGTCTGTGCATGGGTGCAGTATTTTGAAAACTCTCAAGTTGTCCCCTCATTTTGAGAGAAATGCTTGGGAAGTTTCATGTTTTGTTGGAATAATTTGTGTTCCTCAGTCTGGCATTTTTTTCTTAACGGATTTTGAGCTAGTATTCTTAAACTAGTTTTGTTGCATTTTGTGCTTTTCCCAGCAGATAACTTATCTGTTTTTCTTGGAAGAATTTGGGCTCCATATGCATATACTTTGTGATCCTTAAAATGAAAATACATTGCTTAACTGTAGAGCATCAACATGTTTGCTTGTAGCTTCTGCTAAGTTTCCAAGATTTTCAGAGAGAAAAAGCAAAAAAAAAAGCAAATGCATTTATAATTTTGACTAAGATGTGGAAACACTGAACTCAAGCAGGCACATATCAAAGTTTGTAGGCTCTGTTGTCATTATTGTTATCCAAATGTGTCAAGACTGTTTTTTGACCTCACTTAAGTGTATTTATGCATGATAGGCATTGGAAGCCATTAAAATGTAAAGCTAAAGCTAATATAAAGTTAACATTTAAGTTGGACATGAGATATATTTGTAGGTCCTTTTAGTGCTGTAATCTAGATGTGTTATGAAAACATTGACCAGTGAGGGTTCCTGGGTACTCGTAGCGTGGTGCAAATAGAAAGGAATCTCAGTTGCGGAAAGCGCAGTTGATCGGGGCTTTTTTAGTTGGTGTAATGGGGAAGCAAGTGGGTGATTCATGTGTGACACGGAAGGTGGCACTTGTTCCCTGTTCCCTGGGCGATAAGACAAGGCAGAGTGTGTTATGTTTGACTTACTGGACTGGAAGGTGCTTAGGCAGATGTGAGTGGGGAGGTGCGTAGGGATGTTCTGGCAGGACAG